GAACATTTGGCCTTATTATTTTGCATTTCTGTGCCTTATTTACAGACTTAGCGCAGATACTGAATACCAAAATTAGAGCAGCAGCATAGCTACATTTACAGATCTTTGACGTTCCATACGATCTTTCAATCGATGGCCCTCAAAGCCAGCTCAAGCGCTGCGATCAGGCCTTAAATACCAAAAATGTAATTTCTCCTGAAAGTCCAGCTTTGTGGTGTTGTCAGCTTGCACAGCGGACATGAGATGCCACAGTGACCATGTCGGATTAGGTGCTATTCATTGAAGTGGTTCCATTCGCTGAGGCAGACTCATCTAACTACAAATCAAGTCCGTCCGATTTTAAGTGTGTGTCCTTCGGGGGTATTGAGAAGACGTTCCTTATTCATCTTCCATCGGCGAGTTGAAGTCAAAGAGTTCTTGAGAACGCGGCGAGCAGCCTTTCCAACCGTAGGGAAGGTGTACTCAATCAAACACACGTTGGATGCACTTTAACTTGTATTCGTTTACATCTAAACTAACCCCGTAGCCTTATATTTTATTCCTCTCGCACCACGTTGTCTTATCTGTCTTGTTGTCCATTGTCTTACTGTCTGCTGTTATGCACCAATATGTATGACAACATTTTGGTAATAATGTTTCCTGATTCCTGATATTGTAGCTCGTGTCATTTAGTTAACGATCTGAAGCGGAGAATTTGTTGCATTTCACGGTTTCATTTCCAAAAATATGAGATGTGGTATTTAAATTTGACTGCACTATCATCTCCACTGTGAATCCTTAATACTGTGGTGGATTTATGTCAGCAACGCATCAAGTGTCTCTTTGATTGAATGGTCTTTAAAAATGCTGATAATGAGAGCAGAAAACTTTAATTTCATACAGACAATGTGGGGGAACAACATTCAATCAGGATACCAAAATGACAACACACCGGACCGAGGGCCGAGCGGCTCATTATGTGGCTGAATCACATCTGCTCAGGCTCAAAAGAAAAGTTCTCCTCAACTCGGCAACTTCCAATGCATGGATATTTATTTTTCAGAAGGAGGGGGGTTGGCTGGTGGAGGGTTGAAGGAGTCCTGTCACATTACATGTACCTGTCTGTGCGCGTCTCCCCTCGCAGCTGTCATCTCACCTGACAGGTCTATCAGTGTCCACAGCTGATCAGAACGCATCCCTCAGACTGACAGGCTGAACCGACAGTGCCGCAATCCAGACTGACAGCTCCTCAGGTAGCTGCTGGGGGCTGAGGAGTAAAAGAACACTCACAAACACGACAAGGGGAGCAAGATAAAGTCTGCGAACACCCTGAAATAAGAGCCCCCCCACCATCTGCTAATGAATAGCTCCTGAGATAACGCTTTGATTGTGGCAAGACGTTACCTTTAAAACTGCCATAAAAGCCCAAAACAGATGTGCATTTAGAGGCACTCAGTGGTCTTTAAGCACGATAGGAATGGCTTTTTATCAAGCACTCTGGTCTTACGCTGGCTGGTACAACTTGAACTGTGTCACAGAGGAACTGCAAAGACCAGAGGTGAGAGCTGGATGATGCACGTGTCCTCCTGTGGGTTAATAGTAATGTAAGCCGTGTTCCAACGGTTCATTGGACTTTATTAGTTATTGCTGACTATTTTTAAGCAAATTGAGTCTCATCGTTTCACGACAATCAGAAACGTTGAACCGAGGCCAAACCTCTCCGCAGAGGCTTGTACGTGTTCCAGGAAAGAGGAAAAACACCTGCGGGATGTGCTTTGGTTTAACCCAAATCACACCTGGGGGGAAAAAAGCTCATTTCCCTCCCTCGACAAAAAGTAAATAAAAATCTGCCTTTATCTTGTCAAAAGCTATGGAATAACATGCCCATCCAGAACGCCTCAACGACGTGAGGCCGAGCCAAAACGGGAAAAACCTACGAGCTCCAAAGCTCTTTGATCGGCTTAGCCGAGCTCTCCTGGCTTCTCATGTGCAAGGACTAATTAGCAATTAACAATCGGGGTTTAACTAGATCCAGTTATTATCTATAAGCAAGGGGGGTTGGAGAGAAATATCTGCTGTTTTAAGTTGGGACTGCATTAGAATTTGTGCTACTCGAGTTTGAAATGGAAAAAAAGAAAGAAAGAAGAGCGAGGGACCCGAGCAGTCATTTTCTCACTTTCACGACATCTCTGGGCCATTTTTCCCCCTTCTTCTTAAATTCCCAGATCAAACAGGCTACAACAAAAGGCCCCAAATCCCCCCTCCCCATCCTCCGCACTCCTCCTGCTCTCTCTTTCCAAAATTAGTTAAGCCTCTCAGCTCCAACATCCTCAAGATGGCTCTCATCAACAAACCCTACGCTGCATCACAAACGCCGCATAGCCTCAGAAATCCACTCCTCTCGCGCACGTGCACGCGTGTGCACACACTTTTCATGCGATGACAAGGACAAACTTCTCATGTGTCACTCTGAATTTGTAAATACAGGCTAAAGAACGAAGTACCCCTACAGTCACTAAAGTTTGTGATTTTGCCTTCTATTCCACTTGCCCACTGTTGGGTAATGCGTTCAGTCAGAATGCTGCTGTACGAAATAGGAAATGTAAAAAGCAATGCGAGGATGTCAGACGTGCTGATTGGGCTGGAGGGACAGGAGAGGAAAGTAAACACTCTGGAATAAGGCCTTTCATCGTGCCCTGACATATTCAGGCCTGTTGGTTGCTCCTTGTGATTACCTCATCCTTTTACCCTCTCCACTCGCAAGGTGATGATTCAGGATTTTCAGTTTTTCAACTTTCCCTCCCTTCCTGTTGACGTCTCTCCACGCACCCTTCCCAGCACATCTCCACGTGCGCTTCCCTTTACTCTTCACTTCTTAGGCGAAGTGGGAGCGATGGATGTCAAGAGCGGACTCCAGGGTGGGAGGTGGAGGGTGGAGGGGGGGTTGTTGCCCAGGAAGAGGTGCTCGTTGATGAGCCTCTGAAGTGATCCTGTTTCACACACTTCAGTCAGTTTCCACGGGGCCTTGCTGCCTCCGAGCCAGCTGCTCTGCAGGGCTGTCAGCGGAGCGGTTAATGTTAATCCAATGCTAACATTGGTGCAGAGGACACCTGCCTCTTGAGCAGGCCGGCTTCTGGTAGCACCAAGGCCGTTAGCATCCATCGGTCGCTCATTACTTTGCTAGCTGGCCGGGACGTGGCTGAAGATGACATCCTTCTCACCCCGAGCTACACAGCGGAGTAGACGTCCAAACACCACTCCATCGCCCCGCTCGTCCTCCGGAGGGGAAATGATCTTTGCAATCTTCCACCAATCCTGAAATCGAGTCCCGGTCCAGCAAAGCGTGAACTCAGACGGACCACATAAAGAACCCAAATCCCCTTCCATCAATTTAATCATCTCCAGTCCACATATTTCCAAGCTAATTATTCCACCCTTTAATTATTCCACCCGACTGCCGGATTAGTGGATTTGGGAGTATTAGCTTGGAGGGTTGGCAGACCTCTGCACTGTGATTCAGGGGAGCTGAGAGGCGCATCTTCAAAAGGTACCTTGAGCAGCACCTCCACAGGATCATTACACATAAATCCACGCTAAGGTGCTTAAAAGCGTGTAAAGGTGAGCCGTGTTTCGGCGCAGACACTTTTGAGGGAGGAGGCTAACCGAGCGCGACGGGGACGTCGCTCGCCACGGCGACACTGTTTAAAGCCACTTTGGGGAGGAATTGTTTACAAGTTATTCAAAGGGCTTATGTCGACTTGGGTCAGCGTCAAGGCCTGAGGGAACGTTTCTTGTGATGAAATTGGCTCGCTACACACTGCGATGTCACGGCCCGTATTCAAAGTATCGGTTTAAGCTACCACCTATTGGAGGCAAATGACTCAATCACTCTTTGTAAACCAACTAATTGTCGATTTGGCAGGCTGAGGTGAACGCCTCATCCACCGCTGTGGAGGATCCATCGCTGTGTTTCCAAGTGCATAGTCCAGTCATGCTTGTTAAAGATGCTACTCCTTCTCTGACACCCCCGCGCCCCCCCATCCAGAACTGAAGAGCGGACTGTCCCTCGGCTGACAGCTGAGACGTTTTGAAAGCAGGTCGGGAAAGGTTAGAGCAAGGCACATGGAGCCGGGCAGTAAAAAAGACAAAAAGAATCCTGCTTTAAAAAAAATATGTTTTTTATTAGGAGCCTTGATGCTATTAAAATGCCCCAGATACATTCAGCCTATAGTTCCCAATTAAACCTGACAGTTGCTGCATTACCAACAATAAATATAGCAAGGGGCTGTGCCTTGGGCCGGAAAGGACCCCATAACTATGACCCTCATATTTAATGATGAAAAGAAGCAAGCGCATGCATGTGCACATCCATGCATGGGCGTGTGTGTGCGTGTGCATGGACAGACAGACACATACACACACATTGTGTGCTTTGGCTCCTTATTACACAAGCGCATTAGGGGCCTGTGAAAGGAACAGCATCCCGAGGGTTTGTAAATGCTCTGCAGATACGACACATGAAAGTACACCTTTAAACATTTGAAGGGCAGCTAACAAGTATGAAGATCATCTGTTCTGCTGAAAGAGTTTAAAAAAGATGTTTCTGTTTTTGACATGTCCCCACAAGAATGAAGCCAAATTTATTTGTGATACTAAATCAGGTAAAATGTCACATATTTTAACACCTATAAGAGAAACAAACCACTTAAATGGTTTCCCAACAAAGAATCCTGATGATCTTTGTGATGCTCAGACTAGTTTGCCATAAATAACTGGAAATCTGGAGCGGACATGGTGAATAACTGCTTATCGATAAAGCGTCCTGGTACCATCGACTGTCCAGTTGATTTCTAAAATATATTGCCTACCGCAGCTCCTGCAATCTTTAACATCCTTTAGGATGTCAACTTTGCTGTTGTCTGAATGGAAAAAGGCAATGCCCACTAACTAGATTTTTAGATTTGCTTGAATAATAGAAAGTAGTACAAGACAACAACTAGAGGAGACAAACTACAAAAACATCACAGGGAAACAGAATTCTTTAATGGATAGAACGTTTTACTAAACATTTACAGTACTGTCCGTCAAGCTGTCAGTAATAGACTTCACAGGGCTTTGAACGGTCAAATGGAGCATTAAAAGAGCATATCTACATCGACAGTGGAGCTAAACATGACGCTTGAGATCGACAATACAAACAAATGGTAAACAATGGTATTTTGCCTTGTCCCAACAGCTCTTTGTGATTAACATGTAGTCATAGTTTACATTCCATCAAAGATCTTTCACAGCGAGGCAACTCTGGATCGAAGAGGTTGATCGTCTTCCTGTCGAAGTTTGGAGTTTCTCTTCAAAATAAAGGTCATTCATATCATTTCAGCCCAATCCCATTAAATGCGTCTGCTATATTGTTATTATATTGTTGTTGATGTAGCGTGATGCAGTGTCATGACATCTTGTAGACTTCTACACCAAAGTGGCTTCACACCATAACTCAAATAAAACCAGAGTAATGAGAGGCAAGTTGAAAGAATGTGGAATTTGCAGAAGCTGTGTGCAAAACATTGTCACTGTGCTGTCCATGTACAGAACACTTCCATAGATATAAAGTCTGTGCATACAGGTACACAGGACAAAACACACACTCCCTCAGGCAGCCCACCAGGAGGGTACTAGAGTTTCCCGTTGGCAAAGGCTCCCTCCTGGAACTGAGGAATGAAGCCCTTGAAGTACGCCCTGGGTGAGAGAGGCAGAGAGAAAACAGCAAATGAAACAGAAAAAATGCTTCAAAGCATCTCACACATCCAGTGGGTCGGTTCCAGCATGTACCAAAAGTGCAGATAAAAGGCAGAATGTGTTTACTTGTTACAATTATGACAGTGCGTGCTACTCGCTACACGTTAGCACTGTGGAGGGAAACAAAGGAGACGTATCTGCAGGAGACACAATCAAACGGCGAAGAAAAACAGTTAAACTCATGGAAAAACTGTTTTCCACTAGTTTATCTGGACAGCCTGTCCATTGCTTTGTCCTACAGACATGGTTTTAATCAATTATGGTAAAAAAAAACCTAACGTTTCCGCTAAACATTTTTTTCCAAAGTTATTGTAGTTAAATACAGGAGCTCACAAACTTCTAGCTTTCTTGAGGAGACTTCCCGAGGTATTAAGAAGAAACCAAGAGTATGAGAAAAGTACACATTATGCATTGCATTCCGTGCCTTTTGTAGTCGGTAAGATCGTTCACATATTTAGAGCAGTCATTAACCTTTGCCTCGCACAGAGCAAACACTGGGCTGCTGCTGACACCTATAGATGGACTGATTGAAGGTGCAATCAAATCTGTGAGCATTGAATAACCGCCCCTGTGCAGTGCAGCTCATATGTGATATCCATCATGATAAATGACCTTGTGTGGAAAAGCATTCTGTTGCCTTTTTAGTTTTTAGAACTCGCTGTATACAAAATGTTTTAAATTGTGGAATTTCCAAACTCACTTTGCCCTCTTTGCCATCTCATTGCCATCCCAGCGAGGGCTGTAAGGATACGACTTCTGCACCTGAGAATACAGCTGGCCGCTGCTGGTGAAGTGGTACACGGACTGGAAGGTGAGGGTGGGCTGGTCCCTCGGGAAGTAAAGCGGGAGGTCCACTACGAGGAGTAGAGAGACACAGCGGGGGAGGTGGGAGGAGTAAAAGAAGACTAGAAGTTCAACCCATCTGCTTGTGACTCCAGGAAGAACAGCAACAGACCTTCTGGCTTTCCTACCGTGTACTAAGAAGCAAAAGTCCTTCCACATCAGTAAGAGAGTCAGCTTTGTGAATCCCTCGGCATCATACTCCACCACGCCCCTAAAACACACACACACACACACACACACACACACACACACACACACACATTGGTTTCTTGTAAAACGTCAGGGAGGTGACGAATGGCTGGCTGCTGGACCCACGCTGTGACCACTTCAGAGGACAGTGTGGTCCTCTCTAGTCCACTCACATTCCGAAGTGGCTGAGGAAGGCTGCGATGTACTCTCTCCTCTTGTGATAGCCTTGGATGACATATTGCACCTGTAGGGAACAAAGTGCAGCTTCAGCAAACAAAGAGATGGGAAACAGCAAAACAACCCCAGGGAGCTGCATTTAGGGACCTTTAGGTCTGCTGCGTTTGCCGTGCATCACATGAAAGCTGGGAGCCAGAAGACTCCTTTGAGACACATGTGTCAACATAGTCTCGTCATACATCGGGAATAAACGTGTTTTAGTTGGATTCAGAAGTTGAAGGTTTAGAGCGTATGAGGGGATAAACATTACAATTGAACAATGTGTTGGCCATTCGCTGTCTTATGTCTCATAAGTTGTTGCAGCTGCTTTAAGGGGATTATACAAGTTGTTACACAAATTTAGCATATTTTACCATGAGTTAATTATTACAAATATTACATTAAGACAGTAGTATTACCATGGTAAAATCCATGCACACGCACACACACTCCTCCCCCTCGACATGCAGGAATTAATCTTTTTTTAAAGTTTTTATTGTTTAGATATTAGGAAATTGAAGAATAGTTTTCTGTTACAAAATAAATAAATAACCGGTCACCACCCTAAAAAGGCACTAATAACCAAACTATGAATCAGGTTTTATAATTGATATTGACTCTTTAACAGCATGGATACCCACAAAGCAATCATAGGAAACTATAACATCATTTATTATTTTGTGAAATATCTTAGTGATTAATACATCTGTGGATGTCACATATTTAGTTTCACACTAGCTATTAACCAGATTTGCCCAGACAACACCGATCAACACCACACCCACAACCCAGCTGATGTCCTACTATCAATAAGTGCCAAAAGTCTGTTGACAATACATTGTTGATTTTGTCGATTACAGGTCATGTTATCATAGTCCTGTAATGTATTATGTATACTATACATATATATTATACATAGAAGTGAAAAGGTAGACCTGGGGAAACCGGATCATATTAGCGTGTTTGACACTTAAGCCAGAACGTCTCTTTTTTGGCTCTGAAACAGCGATGGAAACTCTACTAGGAAGTTTGGAGTGAGCGCAGTACTACTCACCTGATCAAATCTCATTTCAATTATCCTAGAAATACTATAATCATTTAAAACCCAACAACAGGTCTCTACGGTAAAGGAAAACAAGTTAATTCTCACCCAAAGACAATTAAAAAGACAGCCAACACACAATGATTAACCCAATAACACTTAACTTGTTGTGCTAAGGTGCCTTGTCTGTTGAGTAAAAAAAGCATGACATCATATGCTGTGAAGGGAATCCAACCAACCACCAATAAAAAACGGCGGCCTATGCATACTGTAGACGATCTTAACTACATTGCCTCTTTTACCCCCCCCACCACCACATGTCCTGTATGCCTGGTTTATGGGTCCGTCTGCAGAGGAAGAACCAACTCTCAGGCTGCCGGCAGTACTCCTCACATCACAGAGCCCACCCAGAAGGTAAATAAATCGCTGGCGTGTCGAGAGATTAAGAGAGCAGAACTTTCTTCACTCTAAAAGCCGACTGCACAGAGCACAAAATCGATGAACAGGTGAATTTAAAGTGTCCCCGAGCTTACCACTTGACAGCCAAATAATGTGGAGGAAGTAGCTCTTCCACAGGGTCTGTCAAATGCTGTCTGAACATTTCTCCATTCAACTCGTTGTCATGGCGTCGGTAGAGCAGGGGGTAGAGCGGGTGCACTGGGAACCGCATGGTTGGTGGTTAGAGTCCCAGCTGCCCCTTGTCTCAAGTCGAAGTGTCCCTGAGCAAGACACCTCTAATTGCTCCCCGGGCAAAAATGTAAAAAGCCATGGGTTTAAAGTGTAATGTAATGAACGATGCACTATTCATGTTGCTGATGGCAACATGAATAGTGCATCGCTTGTGATCGCTATTGACATAATGATATTACAGCGCAGACCTTCAATTTGCCTTTCGGAATCATTTGCATCTGAATGCAATCAGCCAGTTGGCAGCAAGAACATAGTGGCAGAGGGGAAAATAACTATGACTCAATCTTTTTTGACTGAAGTGACGAACGCAGTGCTCAAGTCTTCCTCAAAACTTCAGACCACGTGACAGACTGTATGACTGTAACTGTCTGTCTCCCTTCACCTAATTTTCAAATAGCACAGGAGCACCACGTGCTATTTGCTTGGCAGCGTAACTTTTCTGGCAGTCAGACCCTTGGATGCTTTCTTTAGGTCTGATAAGTGCAGGTTTAGCAGGCTTGGTTTGAATGTATGTAAACCGTGCGTGTGAAGAACGGCCACTCGAGAGCCAATCCAGGCGTACACGTGGCCTCTTAACTTTTGTCTCATGTTGCTAATCGGAATACAAACAATAAGCCAAGCACAGAAAGGGAAGCCCCTACAACCGGTAAAAGTAGACGAAAAACATCTCCTTTCATTATTATAAATTACTATAACATTATTTTTTGATCAAATTTCAAATACCAGCAATAATTTGGAAAAAGGGTTAACTTCTGGGAAGAGGGGAAGTTCCTGGAAATAAACAGCCCCTGCAGAAGAATAATGTCATATACTGGCGCATCTATACTATATTGCATGATTAACGGACGTGTTTATTTGAGTGCATACACAATAAATACAGCTGAAGACCCTCACCCACCGCTACTGCATGGATGTGATCATGTATGAATGAGGGCATTTTGTGAAAGAGGAAAGTGGTCATCTCTGATCCACACATGTGTGAGCCTGTGTGTGTGAGAGCGGTGCATCTCATAGAGCTGTTAAACATACACATAATTATGACAGACCTCTGTTCAATTGTGTTTACATGGGACATTGGAGGCTTTCTCAAAAGCTGCAGGGCCAGAAATATGAAATATGCTTTTTTATCTGCTACGTTAGTGTGTGCATTCAAGGGAATCGTGGATCACTGAACTGTTGCACTCATACTGAGAAAGGACAACCACCCCCACCTCCACCGTCACCTGCAGCCAGGTCTCTCTATTGGCTGCATAGAGGTTTGAGTGATGCAAGCCAGGTGATCTCGCTCTGCAGGTATTCAAACCCGCCCACTCGCCCATTATCGTGTATGTGTGTGTATGTGTGGGGGAGGGGAGGGTTGTGATGCAATAAAGCCGGAAGTGCTTCCTGCCGTGTTATTGAGAAATCTCTTCTCATCTTCTCTCTCTCTCTCTCTTTCACATAAGCATTCGCACCGCCCCCTGCTTTCATTTCATAAAGAGTGAAAGCTGCATTTCAAAGAATTGATATCCTGTTGGTACGATCAGCATGTTAATATCCTGGCCTCACCATCTATTCTACACTTTATTCTAAATATTAGTGTTGATTCTGTACATTACTCTGCACCTCTGGTTGCATGCTGAGCTGCATATTGTTGTCCCAGCACAATGGCAGTTAAATTGGATCTATCTAATCTAACAGCAATTCTACAGATTATCGGGGTCGTCGTGGCGCAGGGGTTAGAGAAGGTTGCTGGGAAGCACAAGGTTGGTGGTTCGAGTCCAGGCTGCCTCATGTTCCATGTCAAAGTGTCCCTGAGCAAGACACCTAACCCCTCCCCGGGCAAAAATATGAAAAAGCCATGGGTTTAAAGTGTAATGTAAATGGCTTTGGATAAAAAGCGTCTGCTAAATGACCAAAGCACCATCCACAGCGTGAAAGTGGACCACACCAGCAGAGAGGCCTTCGCTTAGATTTGGATTGAGCTACACATCTGTTTTGGGACTGCACGGCGAGATGCTTTTATGATGAACCGGTCCCAGGTCGAACACAAGCGAGCCTCACAAGGTGGAAACCAGTTTTGTCTTTTTAACCCAACAGCTAATGTGAGGCTAACGTGCCAGCCGGGCACCTCCCCAAACACGCTGCGGCAATGATTGGCTCGGGCGCACCTTGATACTGTGGTTCCAGACACCTCCCCCCCCTCCCCTCCCTGCCCTCCGATCACCACTGTGGAGATTTTGGCCCTAAACAACGACACCAACGCAAGACGGCAGTGCCGTATACGGGGTATTTTGTACAGCGCGAGGAAGTGGGGACACAACGTCCATCTATAAATATCGCTGATGCCATCAACTAGAGGCCAAGCGCCATTAATGACCTTGAGCACACGCAGGAACGAGAAACCTGTTAACTGGGAAAAAGGAGCTGAAGATGAAAACTTGGATTAAACTGCTTTCTCTGTTGAATCTCTCTCATAGGCAACCGATTGATTGAAAGCAACGAATTCCTTGTCTTGTATGTACATTCTGTAGGCAATGGCTGAGGAAGGTCTGGAGCTGATATTCGTTAGTAATTCTTTAATGATGCAGACGCCAGGTGCTGCCACCATCACCCAGCACAATCCTCGTCAGAGCCACAGCTGTGAGCCCAGTGCGCTGCACATAAGTTGTGTCAATAGAATCTAAGCATCTGGAGTGCGTGGGAGGGAATAATTGATGGTTTTAAAAGAGCAAAATGACTGCACAGCACGTCGTCTTCTCCAGAAAATTACAAGAATGAAGGCAACAAGAGAAGAAGCTGAAGGTTGTTTTACGTTTCTGTTTAATTGTCCAGCTGCTGTCTTCCTCTGTTCCACTCAATTTAGTTATTTATTACAATTATTAAATATATATATATATATATATATATAAATATATATTTTTAAATTTTTGCAACGAAATGTCATTTTTTAACCAGCCAAGCTTCTACTGAGGCACAGCATAAAACGCAGAATGTCTTTTAACAATGAAAACAAACTCCCCATTTTAAATAAAATATCGAAAGAAAAATATTTGGCTGGATATATTCATGTTACGAAGTTTATTTATTTTTTCTTTAAATCTGCCATGACCTCAACTTTTGGACTTCACAACGTTGTGTAGTGGCTGGAACTATTTGGACCAAGTCCAAAGCAATGAGTGGGTCGGGACAGTGTTGATGGTGACACTGTGAGCAGCAGGACCCCTCCTGTTTGTGTCACGCTGCCTTTATCTGCTCGTCACGCTGCTTTGCAACATGCCTTTCCAAATGCAGGCCGCCACCTCCGTGACTCTTTCAGGGAGGAAAAGGGAGCGGTCGTGACACTGCTGAACCTAAACACCCGGACACACGGAGGTCAATCTGGGACAACACCTCCAGTATGCTGGTCAGAGTCCAGGAACAGGAGATGGAAAGTATCTGTGTGTGGGTGTGTATGCGGGTTCAGCGGGGGATGGGCATTTCTCCTCAGGGGAACGGCATGACATATTGTCCGCGCTGCATATCTACCTGTCAACCTGCAGAGTCCAAGGAGCGCTCAGACAGAATATGGAGGTTGGCCAGTACGCCCACGTCGGCAGATGCCAGACATATGTGCATGAGTGCCCATACACATGTTAGCGCACACACACCCAGCTTGACAAAAGACATCCTTCAGTGGACACACAAATGAATGATTCCCAAACCTGTCACACACGTTAAAGTTACTGCGAGGAACTTTTAACTGATCACGAAACAGTCCGTACTCAACACGGATGCCTCCTCATGACTCACACAAGTAAGCCCGACCATCAGCAGGACGAGTGGTCAGCGGCGCCGCCTGCTCGGATTCTGCTCAAAACAGATGAAATCACGTAGGTTCCGTCAGCTCAGACTCTAAAAAAATCAACAACCAGAGGCCCCAGCTGTGGGGCCCCAGCTGTGGGGCTCTAGTAGTGGCGGTCCAGTAGTGGGTGGTACAGTAAAAACTCTCATAAAAAAGTCTCTTAACATTAGGGGCCACAAAATAATTTGATGTGACACTGAATTGATACTGTGCAAAGGTCAAATGAGTTAAATTGTTTACCTTGTTGTTGAGTAACTGGCACACTTGGGGGACGTAGTCAATTAGGCATCCTCCACTGGGGAATGCTGGGATATGAAGTGCAGAGGAGCCTCCCAAAGCACTGATTGAAAAAGAAGAAGACGGAAGTTAGCCCAAACGCAGATTACATTCAATTGTTAGTTTGTTCTCTGTGCCGTTATACATCATTTTTTAGGACAACTCAAAGCTTGTTTGTCATTTTTGAAAATGCGTGTAAACCACTAAGCAAAACCAAAACCAGAAGCGAGCTCTTCTAGTTGGCTGCCAACAACCGAGGTTATGGAATATAAAACAACAGCAGTGGCTTGAGCCTGCGAAATCCTCCTCATTCTCCGTCACTCATCCAGTTATTCTTTTGCCATCCTGATTCCATCCTGCAGCACAGCTCCATTAGTGATTAGTGCATGCTTGTTCAATCAGGAAATCTGCCACAGCTCCCGAGTGACTAACCAACTAAAGTAGTCACTCCCTCATTTTTTTCAGATCTGGGGCAAACAAAACTGAGGGAATACCCTGAGGATGAGTTAAAGGTCTCAAGGAACTGCTTATTAGCTTTTAATGCTCATTTAAAGACACACGGCAGAGGATTTCTTCCGCTGCTTTCTATTTTTATTTAATTCTTCATTATAGCAGGACAGTTGGAGGGCATTCAGAGATGCTGCGACTCTATTTCAATGCTGCATGTAAATAGACCACATTAAGATCAGGTATGTTGAGATGCAGCCCCGCGTGCTCATCCTTAAGCTTTACCAGAAAGGCCACAAAGGTCAAATTCAACAATAGTGAGTCACCAAATCAATCATCCAACAGCGCTTCGGAGGCCTTTTGAACCGAGTCCAAGTCATGCCTCAAGTTTTTTGCAGGTTAAGCAAAATGAACGTCTTGTTGAACAAATGAAGTTAAATCACTATATTCAAAATGATAAACAAACTATCCAGCAGAATATTCAGTTTAAAGTCAAGCTTAGCTAAAAAGTAATCATACAAAACAGCATCCGATAAGATGGTTTGATTGGTTCATTCATCAAAAGCGGAGAAAAGGGATGAAAGAATTTAAGGGTTGTAACACAAAGGATGCACAAAAGACTAGACAATAAGGATTGTGCCGTAGGCAGCTAAACAATGTCACTTTGAGGACTAGCGCTATCCATTGCACCCTTATGATTAATTCAGCTTTTCCTTGTTGAAGTTCCTTTTCAGAACAAACACATTAATATAGTGCATTGCTGTGCAAGGTTTCCGTGGATAACCAACTCTATTTGGCAATAAATAAAACTGTTGCATAATTAAATTCCATTTAACTGACGCTAATTATCCCAAGCAACTTACTTTACATTTTTAACCTGTGGCTTTTACATTTTGCCCGGGGAGCAATTAGGGGTTAGGTGTCTTGCTCAGGGACACTTCAACATGGGACACGGAGCAGCCGGGGCTCGAACCGCCAACCTTGCAGTTCCCAGCGCACCCGCTCTACCCTTTCGTCACCTTCGACCCCAGTCATGTGGATCAGAATCATTTTCACATGCAGCTTTTGTGGGGGGAGATATAAACAATATGCTTGAAACAACTAAATATACAAATACTACATTTTGTTTTAAGGGTTTTAATTGACCAGTTTTCTCCTTTTTGTTCTGGTGTGCATTAGTTTATGGAGACATTCAGAGAATCCATTCTGTAATCAATTATTCATGAAGGATTGGCAGACATTTCAAAAGACAGATATATTCAATAGAACATTTCTCAAAAGTTATGGGCAGCTTGCCTTCAATTCTAGTCGACAGAGCAGATAGGTCGCAAGTCGACAGCTCTTCATCATCATCATCATTTCACTCTTCAGTAGAAAAAAAAAAAAAAATTATTATGTTTGGATTGTTTGATAACACTTTTTACTGTGGATGATACTTTTTTTACCCGGTATGATAATATTAATGCTTTTTTCTGTGTAGAATAATGTTTTTCACTATGTTTGATTATGTTTTTTACTGTATCAGATAATGTTTTTACTGGGTTTGACAATGCTTTTTACTGTGTAGAATTATTTTTTTTGACAACAATATGAGGATTGCACAATTAAAAAAATTCCAAAGAAATGTGGGAAATGTGGAGGTGGAGCGAATCGCGAACTCAACCTGTCATCATTTCCAAAAAATACTAATGTTTATGGGAAAATTACGTCATACCAGAGTTCAGGAAAAGGTCAACAGCCACCTGACTCATAGTCTTGCCCGGCCTGGGAGGGGTATTTAACTAACTAACAGCTTCTCAACAGTTTTACTACAGCTCCCCAGTCCAAGTTGTGTCTTTTTTGCCAAATGACACTCAACTGAATATTAATAAGGTCTTATTCAGAGATGCAATACAGTCATTTTCATTGTCTAAATCATTTTCTTCAGAACTCCAAAGCCACCATTTAGAGTGGGCTTTGTGCACATAATTAGTAATAGCTTGTGCTTTTGCTGTGCAGCAACAAATGGTCAACTGAAAATGGCTTGCAGCAATGAGCAGAGAACCTTTCAAAATGGGATGCCCATCTATCCTCCCACATGTCTAAGAATAGCTCCATATCATTCAGATGGAAATGCAGACAAGGGAAAGAAAATAGATGTGTTAATGGTAGTCATGTGAAGAGAATATGATGCATTTGGATTTCAATGTTTTTTCCCCTTTCCCCTCAATTGAATGGAGGCTAACATGAGACCGACCTCATGTACTAAAATATCCAACATTCACTAACTTTATCGAAGAGTCCAAATCCATTTACTGCAGACTGGTCTGAGAATGTAGACCCACTGAAAACCCATTCACTTTGAATCTATTCAAGCATTTTGTCGGCCAGTGGATTCTAACCATCTTGTTGCTCTGAGGAGACCATGCTTTTATTCCACAAAATGAAAACCTAAATATTTAATTGAGATAAAACTCGGCTTAAAATAAATGTTGTGGCAAAAAAGTGCAATGAGGGCTCAAAACCAACATAAAAAAACATTAATAGCTGTACAATGGCAGCTACAACTTTTGTCCAGCTAATTCAGGTAAGCCAAATCATTGATAGAGCAGAACATGTAATCAAGGCCTTATGAAAAGAACAGGCTTTTTAAAGGTAGGTTTCAACGCAGTCCTTGGCAGAACACTTGCAATAAACCTTTACTTACAGTAGTTGTGTCCAACTTAAGTAGGTAACCATTGTCAGCATGTTTTGAAGCGGATAGTTTCCTCTCAGCTCAAGCTGCTTTAGACCGATACAGTCAACAGCTGTGCGGGGCAGGCGAGGGTCACATGATCACCAGAGCTGGTATCAATAATCTACTGTCAGCATTTCTACTTGCAAAGAAGTGATAAATGGGACAAATCAAATTGATAGTCCTGAAATGTTTTCTGAAGCTGACGTACTCAAACCCCCCTGAGAATGGATCCCACCCACTAGCTCAGAATTACTGTTTTAAAATATAATTGAAAGTAAAGTTTCTCCACCTTCAACAACCAACAGAGCTGGCGGCAGCGTGCATTTATCGAACACGAGCCACGCCTTATGGCAGGAAGCTGTATGAATTGCACTTAGGAGGAAAAAGGAAGAATCTGACATTTAAGAAGCTGCACTTCTCTCAGGGTCAAGCTGAGGGGAAGAATTACATTAGGCAGCATAACTTAAGCATCAGGGGGGGGAATTTAAAAAACAACAATGAAAAGGCCTTTATTCTATTAGACGCTCCTTATCTGGTTAATTCAACATTCAACAACTCGTTTGTTACCCAATTTAACTCTGTATCATCTGTCCCCATGCGCACCAACGTTCGCCTTTTGAGGTACAAGGGGTACAAACTAGGTGGTGGGGAAAAATGTTCCCCTTCAACCAGACAGAGGGCTGGCAGATCTCCCCACAGCGACGTGCTCGAGGTAAAATGTGAATAAAAGGGAGTCCGTGTCCATGCACATATACATTCCTATCCTAATATCAAAATCTATCAAGTGAAGCAATAGGTAGCATTTTCCTGAAATTGTACTACATCTATATTTATAATGTTCTCAGGCCAGTGTGAGCTTGTAATTGGCTTGAAATTGAGCTTCCTGTGGGTGGGCTCACCATCCAGACATAATGGTGTTTTATTTTTCGAGTGGCACCCTGAAGAGTCCTCGCTTCAGTCTCCACCGGTGACATCGCTCTCAACTCTACCCACACACACCGGAGTCACCATACAGACATGCTGCCTGACACAGTGCCTGCAAGGTGACCCACTGTAGGACATGTTTTCAGTAGACAGTGGGACATGCCTGACTGTAAACACACTCGCGCGCGCGAACACACACACACACACACACACACACACACACACACACACACACACACACACACACACACACACACACACACACACACACACACAAATGCAGTAAAGCGACAGGCCTGCCTGTGACTTCATCAACCAAAGAGATTATACTCTGTGACTCAGGTGGATGGTGACGAAGCACAGTTTGTTTATTTGTGCGTGCTTTTGAACCTACGAGTGTGTGTGTGTGAGAGAAAGAGAGAGAGAGGGAGAGTATGCATGACAGAGTACAGTAACGGCGGGTGAGCAGATAAAGTCTCAATTGGAAAAGAGGGCAGACATGATTCACTATCAAAGTGAAAGATGAGGCTATGAGGAACTGTTATTCAAATATGGTTTCAAAGCAGCAACATTTCCATTTTGATTGCCTTCTTCATTTCCTAAAGCCTGGGAGGAGGCCCGCGCACGACTGCGCTTGTTGACTCGTTGGACTAAATAACATCCTATTCTTCCTCTGGGACTGGAGAAAGCGTCCGTTGCCTGTGGAAGTCAGTAACCTTTCTGTTGAGAGGTGACCATCCTCCAATAAAAGTGCTGAATTTTGTCTCGGATTCTATATTCGTCCTCTATTTGAATGCAACACGATCAATATGAGCTCCAGGCCTCAGCCATTAAACACTCAATTGTATATTATGATTAGGTCAGGCAACGGTGGGAAAAAGCTCAACTTTAACTGGCAATGTAGAATATATTTGGCAGCGGTGTGGGTGCTATTGCTCAACATGACCCTATGTCATTTATACTTTATTCTACTAATA